TTGAGAAACACTGATGTAAAGGAACTATGTGTATATATATATATATAAAAAAACATTTTCATTAAAAGAAAGCAATGCAAATGTATGGTGGATAAAACTGTTTCTATTTTTTCATAAGCATATTAGAGCTTATTTATTGACATAAATTCACCGACTGCTCATTTGTGTCTGTTTACGGTGTCATTATATCGAAATAGATTTGAATGTGAAATAAAATAGATCTTTTTGCTAATAATGAGTTGTCAATGTAACAAATTGTTTGTTTATTTTTATTTTTGCACGACATTCATTTATACCAGTGGTTCCCAGTAGAGGTCGCAAACAATTTCCACTCAAATAAATTTTTATCAAACTATTAGAAGTACCTTATTTTATCCATAACCCACCACAGAAGATAGTTCAAAGTTACATTAAAACAACAACATCCAAATAAAAATTCATCAGCTCAGATTTGGTTGACCAATCAGAGGAAAAAGGGTGTTTCAGCACTGTCTACATGCGCATAATAAATTTTAAAGTCAATTATCCATTTTCCTAACCTCAATCCAAAAACAAAAAGACTCAAAATCACTCTCTCTTTTTTTTCGTTTTTGTGAGCAAAAGAAAAACTGAAAAACGACTGTTTTATTATCATTTTTTTCCGTTTTTTGTTTGAAAACAGATAAGGAATGGATGGAAGATACTATGATTTATCCTTTTACAGTCTATGGATTTATCTCAGTGTTGATACAAAACTGTGACCATGAAGCAAAAAGCACAAAATCAAGAAGCTATAGCAGGGCTGGGCAAACTCGCTCCTGGAGTAGCTCCAACTCTGATCAAACACACCTGCTTATAGATTTCTAGTGATCCTGAAGACACGTATTAGCTTGTTTAGGGGTGTTTGATTAGTGTTGAAGCTAAACGGTGCAAGACACCGGCCCTCCAGGACCGAGTTTGCCCACCCCTGAGCTACAGCATCTTGGGGAACACTAGAGGGCGCAATAGAATAATGCAGCATTGTTGAAACGTTGAGAACAAAAAGTTCTTCACAGTTAACACAAATAAGATGTTTTTGAATAAAGTGTCACAAAAAAATTAGTTATGATTATAAGCACATGCAACAGGTTTTGTGAAAAAAAAAAAAAAAATTACTTTAAAAAAAATTAAAAAAAAAAAAAAACGTCCCAGAATTTAACAGTCAAAGAATAACTTTATAATAAGCTAATGTAAACGATTAAATAAGCTCCTGTTGTTTCATTTTCCCTTCAACTGTCCAAGTCTCTCTGGCACATGCTGTTTAAACACTTGATCTGTTAAGATTTTTCCAGACGAGCAATACTGAAAACCTCTGTGTTCATTTGAATAGTCGTGGGAGCAGAATCTCTCACCCACACGGTCATGAATGAATCGCTGTCACATTTGTTCCTCTGTGGGAAATAGCTGCTGATTTTCATTACCTGTGCTTTTTAAACTCCCACAGCACTAAATATTTTGACATGATGCTGCTGCAGGACACAACAGCATGATATTTATACAGATTAAATAAAAAACCAAGTAAGAACAATTAGCAAAATGTTAGTTTTTATTTAAATCATGACATATATATTTGCTAAAAAAATGTAATACTGCATATTTATTGACTAAATAAAAGATCAGATCTTTTAAAATGGAGATATAAAAGTAATTGACTCTTGAAAACAGTGTGGAAATAAAGTATGAATCATTTTGAGATGATGCAATATGTTTACATAGTATTATATAATATGTTATAAAACATACACACAAAAAAGTGCAATAAAAAGTGTGATTTTGCAGAATGCTATATTAAAAATCTCAAATTATCATGTTGTAAATATTGTTATTCCTAACAGTTATTCCAGGGACAAGACATTTGTGAATCAGACGGACTGTGAATTCCAGACGTTACAGTAAGGTATGTCCTTGTGATATCGTCCTGTATGTTTCCAATTCCTCTGCTTCTCTTTATCAGACATGGGCACTGTAGTAAACTATGATTCACATACTTCCACCCCACACACCGTGGGCTGGCCAATGTTTAGCCACAGGCTTATAAAAGTGTTTCATGTGGTTTAAGGCAAAGGCCATGCTGAGTCAAGACAGGAAGACGGCAGAGCCTTAAATCAGTTACTGCCCTTTAAAACTCTCTCTGTTTGACATGCAGCGCTGCACCAGCCCACTGAATTGAAACTTGCTCTTGTGGGCGAAGCCGATGTGTTTTGGGGGAGCTAAAATTGGATACGATCTCAAGAGTCTTGCGAAAAGCCTAGGAGGCTTGCTGTTAGAGGTAGATCATTATTTATCTCTTGGTTTACCCTTTAGCCTTTGGTGTAATCCGCGTGTCATGTTTACTTCATCTGGTAGTGATCCTAGAGACCATTTCCACTCTTGTTATGTGCAGTTTCTTAAAGTAATGGGATTTCTGCATATAAACTAATTAATAGACTTTTTGAAATGTATGCCTAATTAGTAACATCTGATCAGCTGTGCGTTAATGCAAATATCTACTTAGCCAAACACGTGACAGTAACAGGAAACATGGTCAAATATACCTTGTTAACTCACAAATAAATAATTTACTCACTATTTACTCACCCTCAAGTGGTTCCAAATCTTTCGAGTTTCTTCTGTTGAACGCAAAATAAGATATTTCGAAGAATGTTGTAACCGGTAACCATTGATTTCTATAATAGGAAAACAACTATGGAGGTTTTCCAGTTTTCAACATTCTGCTAAATATCTTCTTTTGTGTTGAACAGAAGAAAGAAGCTCAAACTGGTGCGTGAAAAGTAAAAGGTGAATAAATGATGACAGAATTTTTAACTATACCTTTAATATCAGAGGTCAGGGGAGAATGGCCACATTAATTTATAGAACTACTCATTACTACTAAAGATTGCAAAAGAGAACATCTGGATACAAAATATGAACAAAAGACTCTATAGTATTACTCCAGTCAAAAATGAACAACCAACATAAGGATACAGTTAATAAGATTGGAAAAAGGTGACCTGCTCTGATGAGTCTTGATTTCTCCTGCAAATTGTTAATGGTATGGTCAGACTTTGTTGTAAACAACATTAAACCATGGATCCATCCTGCCTTGTATCAACAGGTTCATGTTGCTGGTTGTGTAGTGGAGTGAGGGATATTTTTGTGAGGGGTACTTCTTGCAGGTTAACTCAAGTGGCCTCCACAGTCACCAGTTTTCAGTCTATTAGATCACCTTTGGGATGTGCTGGAACAAAACATCTGCATCGTGGATGTGCAGCTGACAAATCAGAGGCAGCTGTGAGAAAATCTCAGGAATGTTTACAGCACTTTGCTGACTTCGTGCCACAAAGATTTGAGGCTGGTCAAGCGTCGTATGAGTAAGGTGTACCTAATAAAGTGGCCAGTGGGTATACACAATTATACCTCGGCTCAGTTGAATGCTTGATTCTGATTGACTAATGTGAGGCTGATGTAATTATTTCCATATAACTGCACAGCTAATATTTACAGGCATATCTTGACAGCATTACAAGGTGATTTCTGTTATTTCCAACCCACAACTGTCAAAAACAAAAGGCTTTAGGTAATGTGTCAGAAACTAGTACTACTGCTACTGCTACACAGGAGCTGTTTGGGGACAAAAACCGGACAAATGCCTTGAAATACAACATCTGAAGTGTCTTTAGGTGTGGTGGTTTAATCAGAATTACTGACTCTTATTAGAAAGTAAGGTAACTCGTTTTTTTTTCTTCTTCTTCTAATATTCTGGTAACATTTTAACCAGGGTGCGAATTACAGGGGGGATTGACCCCCTAATTAATGCTTGACCTGAAGGACGTCAAAACAAGTGGTATGAAGGGTCAGCCCTTTAATACTGGGAAATTGTTTGCTCAGATCTACGTTTTAAATAATAATATTAGTAATTAAAATAATGAATAATATAAATACACATTTGATCAATACCTCTATAATGGTTCGTACCACTGTGCAAAATATTAATTAAACAGCTTGAAACCGCAGATGTAGACCACAGAGATAGACATTGTAAGTGTTCAAAAGACTCAAACAGGAGTTCGTTTCTACATACAGCCTAAAAGTTAGGTCAAATTAGATGCATAGTTTGTAAAATTTCACCTATAGCTAATCTAGGGGTGCCCAAACTCAGTCCTGGAGGGCAGGTGTTCTGACATTTTATCCTACCCATCTGATTATGCTACCAACACAATTTCAATGGTTCTGTTTTGGCATAGGGATTAGGTAAGTTAGGGCCATATAACAGCTTCATATCACACTACTTCACATTAAAATTTACAGTGGTAGTAAAATCTGATGGGTAGCATGTTGCATCATCAAAATGTGCTACCTACTTTTTGAATGAGACACTCTGACACCGGTATCCTGCAGATTTTAGCTCCAACTTGCCTCAAGACATCTGCACGGACGTTTATAGAAAGTCTAGTAAGAGCTTGATTAGCTAACCCAGGTGTGTCTGATTGGGGTTGGAGCAAAACTTAACAGGACAGGCGCGGCCCTCCAGGACCAAGTTTGAGTACCCTTGAGCTAATCGGAGGATAAGCAGAATACAAACATCCCTCACATCACCGAAAAGATAAATACGTTTTTATTTATAAATTTGGTGTAATTTAAATACATTTGATTTACTGAAGCGTGTATTACACAGATTTTCTTCATGCACATTTTTCTTAAAGTACTCCAATTGCTAGTACTGCCTCATTAGAGTCTGTTACTACGTCTTGTGCTCGTCGATTGATTTCTATCGTAAATAAATAACGTTACTGTTATTAATCTGTTCCACCAAACTGTACATTTCTCACATCTTGACTGGAGTTGAATGCAGTACTACTCTCCGCCGCTCATTTACATAGCGCGTACGTTATCATTCATTCCAGACCAAGCGAAGAATGCCAAATCTCAAGAATGCACGTAAGGGGGCGGGAACGCCAAAGGACGCTGTCTATTGGCCGCGGCCCTCCGTCACTCACAGCATGTGCGTCATTTCCGTTGTCAGGTGGTGCTGCTATGGAAAGATGTGATCAGTTGTCCTAAGAAGGCTTTTCCCTCAAAACCCCTGTCGGTAATCGTGAAATTTCTCCAGTTCGCTTGAAACGAACCGCTTCGTGGTGGAGTATAAATGTCGGTGCAACCCTGCTGAACACTTGATCGGCCAGAAATGAGTGGGAATTAGTGTACGACAGAGGATTCCCTCGGCGGTTTTGGTAAGTTGTTAAATGGCCCGTCGGTCGGCTGAGGAGATTTTCGCAGTCCGTTAAAGGGACACGGTGAACTCTGTGGCTTTGTGGTGTTTTAATATCATCTTAAACTTCGGGTAAACACGCATTTGCATTGATTTAACAACAGGCTATTTGATTACATAGTAAAAGAGACTGTATAAGCAAGAACACAGTGGAAAATAAGCAAGTTTTTCTTGCATATGCTGAGACGAGTCGAACATTTTCGGCGTACTAATAAATGCACGAGCTTTGTTTCCGTACACACATGCTCATTTAAGTCGTTTACACTTGTGACTATTGTTCTTGTTTTGGTTAACGTTAGCTGCTTGACAGCATTCGTCATCGTACGCCGCGTACTCTTCTTGATCACATTGGAGTGCTCGTGTCTCTATTCCCTCCGCTGTCGATTAACTATAAACGGAAGCATTAGTCACTTGTTTTTACACACCACTAATCTTTAGCAATCCAAATATTATACAAAACGTGTGCAAAAACGAGCATCCGATATGCTTGCATCAAGCTGCCAGCCGGTGCCCGGAGGTTGCCAGGTTCTCAAGTTTGCATGCAGTGACAGCTAGTATATTTAGATCTAATAAAATATTAAAACGATCTGCAACACTGTGCATCAGAGCGTTTAAATCATGCAAGGCTGATATTTCGCTTCTCTGGAGACATAATGCCATGCGATGACCACATCTTATCCATTCAAGCTGATGCAGTGCAGAATGGGTTATACTTAATGATAAAGCATCATCATCATCAGTTTCGTCATCTGGGTGATGCTATTAAATGATTGGTTTACCCAGAAAAAGGAAGATTTTGCGATATTTCATGCACTTACTAGTATGATTTTTTTTTTTCATTTTCTCCTAAAAGGAGAAGTAAAAAAGAGGCACTGACGTCCTTGCTCAGCATTTACTTTCATCATGTTTCTTTTTTCCCATGCTGTAAAATTGAGTGCTGCATAATACCAGGGTCTATTGTTGTGATCGACAGAGTGATGTCATAACATTATATGAAGTAAAGCAAACAGATGACTATAATAATAACTTTATTTTACTAGGAAAGACACATTGGGATAAAAAAATTTCAAATTTACAAGAGCGTCCTGGTCAAGATTAGGCAGTATACAGGTCACATGGGTCTAACAGACAACAAACAAAAACAGTTAACAGGAATCACACATTGACAAACTAGTCAACACATCTACAAGTCTGTGCTTCAAGTTATAAATCATTTAAACTTTTTCTTTATATATATATATATATATATATATATATATATATATATATATATATATATATATATATAAAACATTTAGTTAAATCAATTCTTTAAGCTGTATATTTGTTTATATATTTGTGCATGCAAAAGGCGCTGCGTATTTAAAAGTCTTTTTCCCCCATCTCAGTCTATATATATATATATATATATATATATATATATATATAAAGCATTTAGTTAAATCAATTCTTTAAGCTGCATATTTGTTTGTAGATTACTGCATGCAAAAGGTGCTGCGTATTTAAAAGCCTTTTTCCCCCATCTCAGTCTGCACTTTAGGAACAGGCAGTAAATAAAATCCTGTGACCGAAGGCCATAGCTAAGGACAGTTTTTTTTTTTTTTTGCAAATGTAATTCTGGAAATATGAATGGAGTAAACCCAATATAGATTTGTAAACAAAGATAAGCCAATGCTTGAGGCTGTGGACGGCTGATTATAGCTCTTATTTTACTGATGTCATCTTTGTATGCATGAGCATTGACAAGAGTATTATAACTGCATGCATGTTTGGCATGACCTAAAATCATCGCATATGGTTTAACACCATCCATGAAGTCTATCGGGTTGCAGGTCAGCTCATCAGTGCACATGCGCACGGTCACACGCCATGGTGCTTTTAAAATGTCAGATCTCCAATAATGCATGTCAAAAGGGTGGATTAGAAAGCAATCGCGTCTCTCACCCCCGTCTGTCACATCGTCAACAGTCTGGGTCCAGAAAGACAAAAAGCTGTAAATGTGTGAAATGATCTGCGATAACAGCCAACTGTACCCCCTCCCACGTCCTTGAGACAAGCTGTGTGATCTGTTGCAGAAATGCATTCGAATGTCTGTTTCATTCAAGATTACAATACAACCGAGCTTAAACATGAATCACAACTGTCTGCCGAAGCTCTGAATTTCAAATTTGGACGCTTGTCAAAGATGAAAAGAGGGTTTTACACATCAAAAGAAGCAAGAGTGGAATTGTCATTCAGTGCAACACTAGTTTATTCACCAAAACACATTATCAGACATATTTAGAACAATAATAATTTGATGGGGTGCTAAAAGAATCACAGTGCGGCACAAAAATACTAATTATTTGTCATTTTTCGACCTTTTTACTTTAACTCAGTTTTTTAAATTACAGATTTTTTTCTTATTTTAAATAGTGTAAATATTTGTAATTTGATCATCTTTTATATATTTCAGATCAAAATGAGTGTAATGAAGTACAATTAATGCATTTTTTACATGTGTATTAATGGTTTTAAACATCAAAAGAAGCTAGAGTGTAATTTATTACATTCTTGTAATTTAAGAGTGCAATGTTGTCATGCATTTTTACAATGATAAACCTTTGATGGGATATTAAAAGGATCACACTGCAGCACAAAAATACTAAAAATTTGCCATTTTCGATCATTTATATTTTTTACCTCGGTTTTTAAACTACAGATTTTTTTTAGATTTTAGATTAGTGTAAAATTTTGTAATACGAGTTAGACTTTTATATATTTCAGATCAGAATCTGTATAATAAAGTACAATTAATGTAATTTTTACTTGTATTTTGATGGTTTCTCACATCAAATACTTGTTTTAATTGGTCTTTCTATATTCATGAAGTATCTTTTTGTGAATTTAATTGAATGCACACTTCAAAATCAGTGTTATTTACGTTGACAATAAATTCTATCATAATTTTCTGACTGTTTCTACCGATGAAAATGAGACAAACTAAATAAATTAAGTGATAATGACGACAAATATAAAAAAAAATATGCTGACATTTTCGTTGACTAATTAAAATTGATTTTTAAAATTATTTTTAGAAAACCTCCATTCAGAATTAATCTTGGTGTGTGATTCAGAACACATTTGAAAAGTAACTGGTAGACGTGAGTGATTATCAATTGGATTGATTGCCGACACATAATTTTACATATTTTTTATGATATAATTAAACAATGCGTTTGTAATTTTTGGTCTTCAATAGAAAAGCTATATTGCATATTTTGTTTTATTTAATTTGAAGTTAGAATTTTATATAAAGAAATGTATACAATATTTAATTGAATTACACTTAAATTAAACCAAATATATTTTAGTCAACTAAATCTAGAGTCGACTAAACTACACTAAAACTAGACTAAAACAGGAATGTGAAGACTAAAATATGACTAAAACTAAACAGGGATTTTATTCAGAAGTCTAAAACTAAATTCAAATTTGATGTCAAAATTAAAACTGCACAAAATAGGACATCTCATCTTTGAGTCATGTCTTTTTTATTTATTTTCATGTGTTTGCTATTAGAGCATGTTTATTGTTGGTTTCCATCACTGGGATTGCATGCCCAGTCTCTGTATTGTCCTCTAATTTAAATAGAGTTGAGATTGATTTTGAAGAGCCCAGGGGTGCAGAACTGTCCATGATGCTAAATGCGCTCCCCCACCCTTTTGGTTTGCATCGTGATATGATGTCTGGAGGCTGCGTGTGTCACCCTACCATTGGTGTCGAAGAGCAGCATTTCATATTTCTGACAAACTGCTACCAGTGCAAACCCCAGGGCCTGTGTGAATCACACTGTATCTGTCCGTAGCATCACTTGCCTTTCTGAAAAGCCACAGAAACAGATTATACAAGAACCGTTGCTCAACAAAACAGCAAGGCTTTTTCCTCTGAAATAAACAAGTCCTTATTCTGAATGACTCCTGTAAATAATGCACTTGATGTGAAATTCTAGCATCAAAGGTCTTTGTTACGAAACGGTCAGTACGAGAATCTTGTAATATGCAGATTACGCCACAGAGATTTGCAGATAAACCCTTGCAGATTAAGGAACGGAAGGATTACAAATAGCGAAAGGCAGAAAAGCATAAAACGCAGTTCAAAATGATGTTGTCAGTTTGAGCACTTTCGGTGCTCAATGTTTGCCTTTCTCAAACAGATAGTGGTCAGTGGTGCCATTTGTGTGTGAATGGACTTCCATTGTCCGTCGCATCAACCGTTCACACCTGCTGCTAATCTTTGCTCATGCAAATGCATGCCGACCTGATGGGTTGTCATTCATGCCGGGACAGAGCTGTTAATGGCACCTGACTGTTTCGAGGTGTCTGGGAGGGGTTTACTTTTGCTAAATCTCCTTCCCCCACCTGTTATTTGCCCTCTTTAACTCGCACCTTGTTGTTGGTGTACAGAAAAGCCTCATCGGATTGGCTTATGCCCCTGAAGGCAGGAATGTCGACGGGTGTCTTATGGCTGCATTGCTTGAATGTTTAACGTTTTGTTTTTAGTCGAGAAGTTACATCAGCATGGATGCATGTCTTCAGTGTAAATTACTTCCCTTCATTGTTTTGGCTTTTTAAGAATCAGCGCTCAAAAAATGAAAGTTTTTGTAATCCAGCCAGAAATGGGAAGAAAGTCAAACTATTTTTCAAACTCAAAACATGATGAAGATGTTTATGTTTACATAAGATGTCATCTCGGACGCACAAGATTCACACTTGAACATTCGCTTAATGGAAAACATTTGACTAAAATGTCAATATTGCAACAAAAACCTAACTGTTAAGCACATACTTTTGGAGTAGCCTATTTTTATTGTTATCAGAAAGCGATTTATATCTGGAGAGACTTTAAATGAAATATTTTTGAACTTGAATCCTTCCAAATGCAATTTTTATAAATTTTTTGAAAAAATATTTTAGATTATTATTATTATTATTATTATTAAGTGTTTCATCTTGTGTATTATTTAATGCTGTATATGACTTTTAATTGTTGAAATATTTTAATAATTGTACACTACCTGACAAAAGTCTTGTCATTGATCCCAGTTGTAAGAGCAACAAATAATAACTGCGAGATGAGTTGTGTGAGAGATCTGCAGCGTGGATGGCAACATCAACAGCCTGAGGTATCAAGACATTTTTGCTGCCCATTACATTACAAACCACAGGAAAGGACAAAATCTCATACTTCTCATACAACTCCACATCAAAGTTTCTGAAAGCAAAGAAGGTCAAAGTGCTCCAGGATTGGCCAGTCCAGTCTCCAAATATGAACATTATTGAGCATGTCCTGGGTAAGACAAAGGAGGAGGCATTAAAGATTAATGTAATGAATTTTGAAGAACTCTGGGAGTCCTGTAATAACTTTTTTTTGCCATTCCTGATGACTTTATTAATAAGTTATTGGAGTCATTGCAGAGATATATGTTGCAGTTCAAGCTTATGGAAGTCTTTTTCCTCTGCACCATGACTTTATATTCTATACTGTACATTATTTCTGTTAAGTGACAAGACTTTTGTCTAAGCAACCTTGCTGTCCTAATTAAATAATTAAAAATCAAGACATGATCAGCTTTTATTTTGGAAAAATAAGCATAATCTAGAGGTCAAATGATCAACTAGAAGTCAGGTTATTTGTTGTTCTTAAAACCTGGATAAGGGACAAGACTTTTGTCAGGTGGTGTAGAAGTGATGTTTATAAAATTGGGTAAACTGGGTATGTTTTTTTTTTTGCCATGACATAACAAGAGAAGCTGATATGGCAATAAAACTCTCTCTCTCTCTTGGCCTTTTTAGATCTGCAGAATGTCCAAACGTCGTGCTTCGGAACGAGGGGCCGGAGAGTCATCTGGCAGAGCCAGCAAGCTTCTTTGTCCTGGGATTTCTGGCAACAATGCCAAGAGAGCTGGTCCCTTTGTTTTAGGTAAGTTGCCTAGGGGCAATGCAAGTGAATCTTCAACACTGGCTCTATCTCTTTGTGTTTCTATGCGAGGAGGAGGAGGTTTTGAGGCTCTGTTGGAAAAGGAATTGCAGGAATGTTTTGGATTGACTGCTCCACTCCTCAATCCACAGGTCTTTTCCTGTGTGCCACTATCATGCTGCTGCCTTGCCTTTGAAATGCATCTGTCACAGTTGGAAATAGCAGTGTGACGTGATAGAGCAGGGCATTGTGATAAGAGAGTTTATGATTGGCCTTAAAGAGAATTGCAGTACTCTTTTGCATCTCCTCTCACAAATATTTACAATTCCTCTCCATCTTTGCAGGCCCACGACTGGGAAACTCTCCTGTCCAGAGTATAGCGCAGTGTCTAGCCAGGAAGGATGGGACGGATGATTTCTACCAGCTAAAAGTGAGTGCCCTTTGTTTACGTGGGGTTAAGATAAGTTAGTCAGGTGAGACAAATTATATTTGGTCATAAATTGGTCTCCTAAGAGTGTTTATTATTGAGTTGCATAGAGTGGAAGAGGTTGTTGGGTCATTCAGTCAGAAAATATTGGTAATTATGCAGATAATTCATAATTCAGTTTCAGTAGTGTCAATATTTGGTGTTTGTAAGCTGTTTTATCTTTATTTTTTACCAAGGCACCATCTGTTTAACCAAAATACATTGCAAACTGAAATATTATGAAAGGTTATTGTCATTTAAAATATACATTTTCTTAATTTAATCGAATGATAACAAATCAAGTTTTCCACAGCAATTACTTCAGTATTTTTTCTAAGAACCTTTACAAATCATTATTTGGTTCTCAAAATGTGTTCAAATATCAACGTTTTGAAAGGTTGTTATTTTCGGTATTAGATCTGTTAAATTTAGTGAAAGAATAATCAGATTATTTATGTGTATATATATATATATATATATATATATATATATATATATATATATAAATAATCTGATTATTCTTTCACTATATCTATATATCTATATATATATATATATATGTATATATATATATATGTGTGTATATATATATATATGTATGTTAAAGATTTGGGTTAAATATATTAATAGTTTAACTCAACCCTGCAAATCGTTGCTATTTTACATCTGTTTTGTGGAATGGATGTGCCCAAACGGCTTTTAATACCAGATGCAAGCTGTCCTTCTGTATCATCACCCTCTCATGTGATTCAAACATGTCCTGATCAGGAAAGTGAGACTTCATCTGAACACAAAAGCCCCAGTGTGTCTCACTGTTTGCATGAACCTTTGACCCGCCTCAACAAATCTCTACTCTCTACTGTCCAATTCACGACCAAACTCTAATTCAGAGATGATCCTCAAACCTCTTTATGGACCAGCTTTATTACTTGAATGAAAGGTGCTCGTCAATTGGAACACTGACCTTTTAACCCCGTTCTTCAATGCCCCTAAATCAAGTGTTTCTCAGATTGCTGTCCAGATGTGCTGAAGGACATGTGAGGGACTTATCTCTGACTTGTCTGTAGATAAAGCCTTTAATGGGTCCTCTGTATGGCCTCAGGATTGTTGATGGCTTAGTATGCCATCGCAGTGGAGATAAAAGACTCCCAGGAAGATTTCGAATAGGATTTTATTGAGTGGTGTCTTCTTACCTTTGACCTTTGTTGTAGATTCTGACCCTTGAAGAACGAGGGGACACGGCAGGAGAAACACAAGAAGAAAGACAAGGCAAAATGCTCCTTCACACAGAGTATTCTCTACTGTCATTGCTTTCAAATCAAGAAGGAGTGGTGCACCATCATGGCCTCTTCCAGGTAAGACCTATTAGGAGTTGCTCATGTGCACTATGTGTAATTATGCTTAATTATAGTAGAATTAATTGTGCAGCTGATGAAATTGTTTGGCACATTGTTTGGACATCAAGAGCAGGGAAGAAGTGATTCATTGCTGCATCATGATTTGTTTTCAAATTATATTTATTTCAGCCACACAAATATGATTTATAAATTTAAAAATAATCATAATTATGAAGAATTTATTACAATTAAAAACGTGATCCAGTGCTCTATTTTTCCTCAAATTCATTTTTTATTTATGTGTTTAAAATAGCTGTTAGTGATCACAAACATATCCAACTAAATAAAATAATGAAACCTAACAGATTTCAATGTTAAGAACCCAATAAAAATAAGTTTTAATTCTTTTTTTTTTCATAATTAAAAAAAAAAATCTTCTTTTTTAATTAAACACCTACAGTTGAATTCAAAACCCCCTTTAATTTTTTTTTTCTTTTTAAAAATATTTCACAAATGATGTTTAACAGAGCAAGGGAATTTTCACAGTTTGTCTGAAAATATTATTTCTTCTGGAGAAAGTCTTATTTGTTTTATTTCTGCTAGAATAAAAGCAGTTTTAAGTTTTTTTTTTTTTTAAATTAAGGTCAAAATTATTAGCCCCTTTAAGCTATATTTTTTTCGATAGTCTACAGAACAAACCATCATTATATAATAACTTGCCTAATTACCCTTTTGACCATATTCTTTAGTGCGGAAGTACGCTCATTTTTGCAATTGTTTTAGTACTTCAGATTGAGTTTCCTATGAGAGAAATGACTAGGAATAATAATCTAGAATAATAATTTACTTTACAAACAAGTGTTTGCGTGACTATACAGACAAAGTAGAAAATATAATAAGAAAATATCAGTTTGCAATATGTAGTAGCAAAATGAGCTGTTTTTAACATCTAAAAATAAATGGAAGTGAATGAGACTGGATGTCTCGAGCCAAAAAGATTCAAATGGCTGCGTTCACTCGTACACAGAGAATAAGGTGAATACTGCCTAGTTATACTATTTAAGCCTTTAAATGTCACTTTAAGGTGTATAGAAGTGTCTTGAAAAATATCTAGTTAAATATTATTTACTGTCATCATAGCAAATATAAAATAAATCAAGTTATTAGAAATGAGCTATTAAAACTATTATGTGTAGACATTTGTTGGGTGGGAAAAAAAATAAACAGAGGGGCTAATAATTCAGGTTCAATAATTCTGATTTCAACTGCAAGTGATTAATCCAAATGAAATCGCAAATGCAATTGATTATACCTGCGATTGTCATGCACATCTTGTCAGGGAAGCAGGGTTGTGTCTTTAGTAGTAAATCCAGTGTCCAGTGGACGCTCTTGCGCGTAATCTCCAAATGTGAATAAACTCATGCAATCCCAATAGCTTTCCTGTGTATATAGAAGATTTAGCTTCTTAGGATTCAGGATCACTAATAAACACACGACTCTGAAGCTATGAAGTGAGTTGGGAGTAAAAACATTAAATTAAATGTCGTGTTTTCATGTGCGGCATTTATTACAGTTGCAATTCACTGAGAGATGATTCAAACAACCGTCATTGTCACAAAACAGTTATCTTGAGTTCATTATCTTCTGATTAAATCGATATTAGATGCGATTTATAGCCTGTTGGTGTACTAGAACTCTATGTAGTAAAATGCTGCTTCATCAGAAGCAAGTCTTGGAGTTAGAACCAGCTTTACTGACAAAATGCGCATAAAAATTGCTGTTGATTAATTGTCCAGCTGTAGTTGTCTCACAGTGGATAAATACTAATCCACAATGAGATTTAATCAAGTACACTGCACTACTTTGGATTTATCTTATTTTATTAGCTATTGTAAATCTCTGTTTATAGGGAATACAACCTGTATATAATGTTGATAGTACATCCAACTGTAAATATCACCGTAGTTTTTCTATAACTCTTAATATTTTATACCTGTATCCTACACTTGCTGCTACTGCACTTCTGGTTAGACCCAAACTGCATTTTGTTGCTTTGTACTTGTACTTGCTTTGTGTAATGACTATGAAGTTGAATCTAATCTAATCGTATTCATCCAAATTTATGCTAAAATCAGCAATATTCAACATTATATGTCTAGTTCTGTGTTTATGATTGATTCTCTTAAGATTTCTTGCATCACCCTATTGATCATGCATCCATAAAAATTTGTTTATTCATTATAAAATTAGCAATTTTTCTTTTTTTGCACTGCTGAGCCTCCTCTTTTCTTTTTTTTCTATTTAAAAAATCAATTTCTATTGTGTGATGAGAGCAGGCAATCTGCCTTAACTCACCAAAGATTTATGCATTTTGAATTTGAAAGGCTTGTTTTGAAATCTGGCTGACTCTATGAATCGATTTGTGAGATGCCTAAAATTCCCTCCCCTACTGTATGTCCTCAGTCCCACGACTTAATTTGTTCCTTCATTGTTCCTTCAGTTGTTTTCATTTTCATCACGAAGTGTTCACAGTGACTCACCGCTTACTTCTCTTTGTGCGAGACGCTTTTTTTTTCTCTCCGTGTCTCTCTCTTCTTCTAATGCGTCTGTTTTTTTTTAAACTATATCTAGCCCTCTCCTTTCTTCCCGGTGAAAATCGCCTTCAGAACAAGCTGTACTGTGCTGTCAGGGCCATTCATTGAAGCTCGCAGTATTGATTGGTTTATTATAGCTCCTCTCTAGAGTGGGCCAGTTAATTATGGATTGCCTCTTGTGTTTGGAGGCGCAGTCATTGCGAACACAAACCACACTGCCGATCGATTTGTGGCCCTCATTTGACCCCAGTCTCAGGTGACTGAAGGAGGGCTTTCATTCATTCAAGCTTTTGCTCATGGCGAATGCTACTGTCCTTTTTGTACCACCAGTCCATTAGTGTCATCTTTTTCTTTAAATACTGTATTTTCTTTCAAAGCTGAGTGGTGCAGTGATGTATTGGTTTTCTAAGTTAGATTCTGTTAAACGCACTGCCAGGTTGGCTTAGATAAAGTCTTTTGTCTTGTCCCTACAATTATTCTCTACACACGACTTTTCTTACGCATTATTTCTTTCATTTTCTCCATCTCAGGATCGCTCTTGTGAGATCGTCGAGGACATCGAGGCCAACAAGGTGCGGAGAATGAAGAGACGAATCTGTCTGGTGCTCGACTGCCTCTGTGCCCACGACTTCAGTGACAAGACGGCCGACCTCATCAACCTGCAGCATTACGTCATCAAGGAAAAACGACTGAGCGAGCGCGAGGCCATCATTATTTTCTATGATGTGGTGAGAGTGGTGGAGGCGTTGCATAAGGTGAGCTTCAAGCGTTGACCATTTTTCTTGAAAAGCACATTAATTCTTAGTCTAATGTACCAGTCTTCGTTTGATTTAAAATAACTACTTAGTTTGATTTCAAAGTAATAATCTGCACCACTTATGTATCTTAAATAATAAGTCATGGGGCTAGCAATAATATAGCACTTTATACATTTAAACAACTTGCATCTTGTATGTGTATATTTGAGCTTTTACTAGTTTACATAACCTTGATTTTCATGTTTAAATTTTAAAATTAGTTTCACTGAATTTAGTGTTAATTTTGTTTATTTATGTTGTTGTTTTGTTATTTTTATTTTATTATTATCTATTTTCATTTTGTGAGTTTTGGCTGATGTCACCTAAAGGCCGATTTATACTTTTGCGTCAAGTGCACGTGCATGGTCCGGTGCAACCTTGGTGTATGGTCCGGTGTTGTCGCATAGCCCTCGCTCGTGGCTGACGCGCACCTCTTAAAACTGTAACTACATGTTGCAACGACGCAAAGTGCAAGCTCTGTGATTGGTCTGCTTGGTAGCTGTGACCAGTGTGGGGGAGACCAAAGGCTGCGCAAACCCGTCGGAACGAGTGTTTACAAGTGTTAAATCCCGTGAAGGAGCTCTAGATGGAAACTGTTGCTTTGTGTTTACCTTATGATTAAAGTCATTGTACGTTTGCCGGTTCCCCTTTCTGAATGGGCGAGTTGTAGCTACTGTAACGTTCAGAAAAGTCCTAAACACCCACGAAGAATCCCTACACAGTGGAAAATAAAACCCCATTGCCAGCTAGCGTTTCAGAAGTATTGTTGAAGAGCAACGCAAACAGCATGCAGAAGTATAAACGCACAACTACACACAAGGTAGGCGACATGGGTCACTCTGATCACTCGATGCAGAAGTATAAATCTGCCTTAAGGCCCCAGTCAAACCAAACACTTTTTTTTTTTGCAGTGAAAGGTGCCTTTTTAAAATGTTTTTTTAATTGCAGCAAGCATTTTTTGCGCTGTTTATGTGTCTTGTGCGCCTCTTGTTCTAACAACCTACTGCACCTCACTTTTTTGATGGTTTGCTCTGCGTGCAAGCAGTTGTAAAAAATAAACTCTTTAAGGACAAAGCACTCTATAATGCGCTCAAGCACCAAGACTGTTCATACAGTGGTTGCCTAGCAACATAAAAAGCACAATGCACTGCTCTTCACTAAAGTCAATAAAAAGGCAGAGTCGGTGTGAAAAGCGTGTTTGATATGATCTGCCCCTAATTCATACCTGCCAACATTTGTGTCTAAATTTCTGGGAGACGGGGGTGTAAATTTTTGTCTGAATAACACAGTTGAGATCCGGATAGTAACTGTACTGTGGTGTAAGTAACTGCACTATGGACCGGGTTTCGGGCGGCTGCTGCGATCGGACCCCAGGATGGTACAGACTGCCAAAAATCCGAGTACTGGGGGTGAAATTACTGGAGTTTTCCGGGAGCAATATCAAAACGGGAGGGTGGCGAGAAATGGGTCTGAAAAAACGGGAGTATTGGCAGGTTTACCCTAACTCCTCCGTCTGCAGCGAAGCCTTTTTTCCTCACAAAAATATTGTTTACTTTTGAATTGAGTCATAATGCAAAAGTAAACTGGTTGCACCTGACCTTTTTTTGTTGATTTTAACTGTGAGTCACCTGAATTAAGGAGGATCATTTTCCTTGCCAGTTCTCTGCTGATTGTCATGAGAAAGATATCCAACATGTAGCCTGAATACTCATGTATATATTTTAACCATACACTGTTTTTGTCATTGCAGAAGAACATCGTGCATAGAGACTTGAAGCTTGGAAACATGGTGCTTAATAAAAGGTAAGATGTCTCTCCTTCTTTTTCTTTTCACTAGTGTGCTGCTGGAGATATGTGTGCTCAACTCTGTTGGGGTTTCATAGAGCACCGTCTGGCCTCATTGACCCTTCTCTTCTTGAGCTCTTATTGAGAGTGTGATTCATCCCTACAGGCTGAAGAGGGAGGGAGGGAGCAGTGGGAAACTATCCCAGTTAAAACGAGTAGGCATGGAACGTGCCCTTGCTTCATTCCCCGAAAAAAACAGAGGGTGATGAAGCCGGGGAGGGGGGAGAAACCACACATGCTGGCTTAAAGGCATCTGAGGTTGATAAGCATTGTGAATCGAATTGTCCTAGCGGAGTTCCCAATCCCTCATCCATAAAGACCCTTTCCAAATACCATATGTGCTGCGTGCGTGTCTGTTTCTGCCATGTGTGCGTGTGGAACCGGGATGCATTTAACCATGGTTTTGTTGCCTCTGCCATTTCAAATGTCCCGAGGAACGAGAGACTCACTGACTAATTGAAAATCCTCAGTTCTGCCTGTCACATTTGCCAGCATGTGCTGCTTGCCGCTGAGTTCTCGCATATTGTAGTTCAGTCACATAAGTGCACAGCTTGTCTAATTACGAAACCCGTCACACCATATAAGCTCAGTGGCATGTGTAGAGAAAGTAGGAGTGGGCTCTTCTTTCATCTTTCCCTTTCCTTGTTGCTTTACGAGCAGTTGTACTTTTGCATCCTGGATGGTTGAGTTGACGGTATGCATTGCGCAACTTGCCATTTCACCCATTCAGTTCCACACTGTATAATTAAGGTGATATGTTTACACATCTTAAAAAATTTGGAGTTAGATAAATTTTTTAAAAGAGATTTAATACTTTTATTTATCATGGAAGGTAAAAAATATGACAGAACAAACTCTGTCATGAAAGTCTTAAAGAGTCTTTGCACATGTCTTGAAAAATGCTATTTTAAGACAAAGTTTTGCACAAAATGAAAATGTATATTTTTAAGGATAATATTTGCTGTATTCAACCACGTTTTTAAATGGTTAATCACATACAATTTTTAATTATTTATAAGCTGCAAAAATAAACTGAAAATGTATTGCCCAAGTTTAATTGATGTGTGTAATACTCGTTAATTGCTTATAACAGGTAAAT